GAGATGTGATACACACAATTTACTAATGTTGTCTTCAGAATTTCTATATAGGAGGAGCTTATGGGGGCAATTTGATTGGAAGGGGTGGGAGTAAGACTCAAACTGTCTTTGTGTAGCTCTGTACATAAAATTCAGAAAATACTATTTTCCATATCAAAAAAATGAGGAGGGGAAACAAGACGGATACACTGAGGTGTGCTAAAGCATTAGTGATCCCAAGTCAAGATCCAGCTCAAATCTCCTACATGAAGTCTCCCCTGATCTAACCCCGTCTGCTCCCCTCAAAGGGCTAAGCACATGCTCTATCCTGTGACCCTCTATAGTCTGTTTTTGTACCTTTTTATAGCACTTATCCCTGCTTGCTTGTATTGTATATGAGTGTACATCTGTATTTTAATTATCTTTTAAAACCTTCCCAACCCTTAGTATAGTGTCTAATACAGAGTAATTATATAAATAGTAACTATTGAATGTTGCATGAATGGTTGAGTTAGGTCAGTACTTCTCCATCCTGATTGCATTTTAGAATCACCTGCAGAGCATTTTAAAAAATATTAATTCCAAAGTCCCCACGATTCTGATTTCATTGATCTGGGATAGGGATAGGCATCATTTTTTATGATTTTTTTGAAAGCGCCCAAGTTTGAGGACTGGAAGTAGATTCTTCGTTGAAACAGTAGTTTTCAAAGTGTGGGCTGTTGAACCAGCAGCACCAACATTACCCAGAAACTTGTTAGAAATGCAAATTGTTGGGCCCCACACCAGACCTAGTAAATGAGAAACTCTGGGGGAGGGCTTCACCCATCTATGTTTTAACAAGCCCTCCCTGATGACCCTGATACCTGTTAAAATTTGAGAACTACTGGTTTAAGACAAAACAAATGCTTTCATATAAATAAAATATCAACTATGAGAAACAAAGTAATTTTACAATCATCCCAGAAGGTGGTGACATTTTAAAGCACTATTCCGTAAACAAATAAGGATACCTCACAAACACAATGGCATCGTGCTTGTGGAAATAAGTATCACAGTATTTTATAATTGTTTCAAAACTCATTTTTTTATAGCTTCCTCTATATGAAACACTGTCCAGTGAGAGAACTAATTTTCATGATAATCTAAGTAAAATAGGCTATATTAGGCAAGAAACACACATATAAATTCTGGCATTGGTTAAGGAAGCCTCAGAGTCAAGGATACCTTTCCATAGTTCCCTCTCAGAGAAAAGTTTTTTTTTTTAAGACAGTAACATTTTCTCTTTCTATTGTACTATTTGACTGTGTGCCACTTAAAAGCTCTGTCTATTCCTATGGAAACCAAGTTAGTGGATGGAGCCAAGGCTTGGAGGAGGCACTGGGAAAAAAATTAGAAGAGTTCAGCCACAGAGCAACTAAAGATGTTGCCTCTCCTTCAGTCAAATCCTCTTCGAGAGCCAGAATCTGTCTGAAGCCAGAGAGATGTTCTTGGCTGATGTATTGTCTAGCTCCGCTGCCAGATGGATGAACATCTTAAACTTGGAAAATAACAAATAAAACTCCTATTCTGTCTTTGAAGTGCCATTCTTAGCCTTTGCTTAGAGAATTATCAAATAGCTTTTTTTTTTTTAAAAAAAAAAAGTCTTTTAAAGATTTGCTTAATATGTCAACTTAGTGATGTAGTTAGCATTAAGTTGTTGAGTAATTAGAAATTTTAGCTAGAGAACAAAAAATATTTAGGCTTGACAATCAGAAGCTTAAGAAAAGAGGGAAAATATCTACGATGGGAAAAGCATTGCAGATTTGGGAAAAGCATTGCATATTTCATTTCTATAGCTCAGTGGATTTATGCCTTTCAAAAACTTGGGTTTTTTCCCTAAAGACTCCACGGGAAATCTACTGGAACTAATAGCAAGATTCAGCAGAGTAGCAGGATACAAGATAAACATTCAAAAATCAGTTGGATTCTTATACACCAATAAGGAGAACGATGAAAAGGAAATCAGGAAAACAATACCATTTTCAATACCCCCTAAAAAGATAAAATACTTAGGAATAAATCTGACCAGGGATGTAAAAGACCTATACAAAGAAAACTACAAAACACTTCTGCATGAAACCCAAAGGGATGTACATAAATGGAAGAACATACCATACTCATGGATAGGCAGACTCAACATTGTGAAAATGACAATTCTTCCCAAAGCAATTTACAAATACAACACAATCCCGATCCAAATACCAACAACATTCTTCAAAGAGATGGAAAAACTAATCATTAACTTTATATGGAAAGGGAAGAAGCCCT